AATTATATATTATAAAAATAAATATTTATATGCAATTTAAAGTAATTATGTCATTGTTGTGTTGTTAGGGGGTGTGGGGGGCATAGCCCCCCACGGGTCTGTTTACTACAGTTCTTGTCATCCACCCCCTAGAAAAAATCCTAAATACGCCACTGATATAATATGGACTAGACCAGTGGGTTGGACACCCACAGGCCTCGTAAAAGTATTAAGTAGTCCGAGAGTAAAATTGAAAATTTGCATAAAGACAAAAACTATGTATAAAACCACGAATTAATATAGTATGGACTGAAAATTAGTAACCACAAGGGAATACGCACTTTTTAAAATTCACTTTAATAATGTTTGGGTTACAGCAATAACGATTCATTATTAAGTAATGTTTAAGTTTGATAGAGTTTTTGGTTGTATCTAATGTATTTTCAATTTGAAAATGTTTGTTCATGTTTAAGATTGTCATTTTCATTTTGTTTTCTGTTATCATTTTTCTTCATGTGCATGCAACGGTGCGGTCCGCAGCTGCGGCCGTAATCAAATAAAGTCTTATCATATTTCCGTGTGCGAACGGCCAGCTGCGTGACCGTTATCAATTTATGTTTTCAAAAGTCATATTCGTTCAAAGTTTTTCTCGTCAAGTCATGCTTTCAGTGTCACAAAGTTATTAGTTTTTTCATGTTTAATTGTTTTAGTGTGGTGACACTGAAAGCCCATTCGTACAGTTCTCATTGCATTTTGTATGTCCGTTAATGTAAAACTCGTCCCTTTTTCACACGACCTCCGAGGTGCACGGTTGTTCGGTGTTTTCATAGTCAGTCGTCAGTATTTTAATTCATTTTTTAAAATAGAATACATAGAGTCATAGACATTCAATTTCATTCTATACAATACATTCATCAATCATCATTCAGTTAATCATTTTGTGTACATCATCTGTGAATTGCCTTCTGTAAGTATCGTTCAGTCATTTGTTTTAGTTCTTTCATTAATATTATTCCCCAATTCAGGGCGTTCAAAGAGATACTTACAGAAGCACGTGAATTTTTGCCATTTGTGATTTGCATGTACACTGTGATTTATTCGTCTGAGTTCTAAAGGTAATCAGCTGACGAGCTGCATATTATTATTTATTATATCATTCATTTAGTCATTCATTATTACATTATTATATGCTAATCAAGCACTTGTTTTATATTATTCATTTTTTATACTATTCATTCATATTCTAGTCAGAAACTTTGTATTATTATTATTTGTATTATTTGAATTATTGTATTATTGTTAAAAGCCAAGAGGCTGCATATTATGTTTATATTACACTTAATTATTATAAACCTGCCTGGCAATTTATTATTTTATTTATTTAATTAAAAGAAAAACACATTATTATTATTATTATCATTGCTCAATAAAAAAGTACAGAACTGCCAACACACATTGTTTTTCATTTTATATTCTATAAGCATATATATATATGATTCAGTCGTGAAGGCACAACTTATTTGATATTAATAAGAGCTGACAGCGGCAACAATGTTAATGGTTAAAACAAATTTTAACATTGATTATAGGTACCTACTGACAATAACTATAACTTCAAACGGTTGTAAAAAAAATCGTGCCTTATCACTTATCACTTATCATCGTGTTAACGAACTTAATATTCATATCAAAAAAGTAATTGGGGAGTTATTTGATGGAGCAGCGTCGACGCATGGAATATGCGTCGTAAATTCAATGGTCAGCACATGTCAGAGCTGGCAATCCAAAAACTGTTCATATTTAGTGCTTTCTCATATATTAAATGTATGCATCTGTGATTCATGCTCTAACGTAGGATTTAATTTCGAAGAAAATGTATGAATCATAAATATATATGATATATGTCTTGGATCTGTTAGGAATTGGTGACCCATTCCTAACCTGGTTGAGATCTTATCTGTCTGATCGAGTTCAATTTGTTAAATTATTTGGTATGAAATCTAAATCATTTAAAGTTTTATCAGGTGTTCCCCAAGGTAGTCATCTAGGCCCCCTGCTATTTAATATATTTATTAACTCTATTTGCTCGGTCATTTCTCCAGCGAGGGTCCTGTTATTTGCAGATGATGCTAAGATATTCCACACAGTGTCGTCCACGGAAGACTGTCAAATACTTCAAAGAATTCTGGTAAAACTAACAATCTGGTGCGACATTGTTGGGCTCTCCCTAAATATTACCAAATGCAAAGTTATGTCATTGTATCGTACTAGAAATATTATAATGTTTGACTATTCTCTCAATGGTCTACACCTGGATCGTGTTGACAAAATTATTGACTTAGGTTTCCTTTTTGTCCCATTTTTAGATTTTCGTCCTCACATTGATCACATAGTAGGCAAAGCTGTGCGCATACTTGGTTTTATTAGACGACATTCTGCGAGTTTCAATTCTCCAAAATGTCTCTCAGTGCTCTATTGTGCGCTAGTACGCTCGGTACTAGAGTATGGTTCTATTGTCTGGGATCCGTATACCGTTGGTGATATACTTAGACTTGACAGAGTGCAGAACAGGTTTTTGAATAATGCTGGGTACTGCCTAAACATTACTCATCCACCCCATGACTATCAACCAATAAATGATATTTTATGTCTCGAGTCACTATCAGTTAGACGTCAGACACATAGTTACCGATTTATTTCTGGGCTATTAAATGGGAAAATTGATGCACCTCGATTATTAGAGAAACTTAATATCCATGTTCCTAGCAACACTCGATACCAGGGCACGTTCTACCTACAAACAGATCGGTCCAACTATGCTGCCAATGCACCCCTTCCTAGACTGATGCGTGTATACAATTTATATAATTTGTGACAATTTCGTGCCTGGGCCCTTTATTTTTGTTTCACCATATTATTGGTTTTTGCTGTCTTACTATATTTAATACTGTTATTATGTCTTACTATTTTAATATTGTTATTTAAATTTGTTATTATTTTGTATGTAATTACTTTGTATAAAAGCCGATTGGCGTTAATCATTATAAATAAATAAAATAAATAAATAAATAAAATATGTTTTTGTTGATAAGTAACCATGACAGCGAAAATATTACGCAAAATCGGTTAGTCAGAAAAAAAAATCGTGCCTGTGTATATTTAATATTTCTTAATTAACAATGTAATTTACAGTCGACTATCGGTCACTCGAATTTCAAGGAAGTGGAGGGGGGATGAAATTTGAGTTGATAAAAATTTCGAGGTGTCGAAAATCAAGTATAGTTGTCATATTGTTTAAAAGAAAATTGTATGCATTTGAGATACTGATAATTTAGAGGTATCAATGTTCGAGTTACTGAGAGTTGACTGTCTTATATTTATTTCATGTTTAACTTAACATATTTCATTGGTATTTAATTAAATGTTATCAACGAAATCATATAGTATACTTTTCAATTTTATTATTTAGAGCTAAGTGTTCATGAATGAACACTTTGGAACTGCTGCCTGGCTGCCTTACTGAAATTAAAAGCCGCCTTACAAATACTCGATGCGTATTTGGCAAAAACTAAGTGGGTAGCCGTGCCTAAAGACTATCATATAGTTGTTCAATATGTGCTTGCACGACTCAAATTCTTGCATATTTATCCACATATGTTTTGAGTATAATATTATATTGAATGAATAGTATAATATACCTACTATAATAATATGATAATAATTACTATAATAATATAACTATAACCACGATCTAAGATTTACAATAATAAAATTCTGTGATAGATTATTATGCGAGTTGCATCGCGCATGCGCACATCGATCACCTAATTCGGAGACTCGACTCCAATATCGGCAACAAAATAATACGCTATACATCCATACTCCATAGTATATGATCTAAGGTAAAAGTTATGAAGAACCGCGATATCGATATTTTTATTCGATAATAATACCAAACAAATTCTCCCATATCGATGTAACTAGGTATATTACCTGTACCTAAATAGGTATTCGATGTCGATGTCAATATAAAAATATAAGGATTTATATTTTTTATTTATTCATTTTTTCACAGCAAATAAAAGTTACGATTTAATCATATATCATTATCTATAAAGACATTAAGTAAATTTAAGTACAGCCAAATGTTATTTTATATCATTCATATAATTTTTTTAGTTAATTTATCGCTATATATATTTCATGTGTAAAGATTAATATCATTCATACGCGCCACCTCCCAGACAATTTATGCCTGTACGCCTGTACCTAGCAATTTCGTGCAAACGAACGAAAACGCGTTACAGTAACGAACGCATTTTGCTAACGGCTAATGTCAGTAAGTACTCGACCGATTTTAATATCAATCTAGAGAGACATGAGACTCAGAATAATCATAATTATATCTCGTTTTCAAGTTTTCAACTACTTTTGTTCAATCCCTATATTATAAGCTGCTATAAGGTGGCTCACTCGTGCATTTCGTTTTGGATCACGAAAATCAATTTCTCTTCCAGTTTTACGATATTATCGTTTATTATTCGATATCGAGATACGAAAATCGATTTATATGAAACGATAACAAAACTAAAAAATATAATATGGCACGTGAGTATACTGCATCACTAGTAAGTTTAGTCAGCATGCGTCCTACGTCTGACAAAGAAAATGTAATTAATATTTTACGGTGTAGGTGCCTGTACGCCATCCAAATCCGTATTTATTATATTTTAATGCATTTTTGACTTTTTCATTGAAAGCTGGACCACAGAATAGACTACATTTAAATTTAATCTATCCTGTGGTTGGACTATGATTTTGAACCGTTCAGAGACAGCTGTTAAATATACCAAATCACAAAAAATGAACATGAATAATAAAAAAAAAAAGTGTGTATTTATAATTTAAATTTGTAAAAAGCAATAATTAATAATATTATACCATTGAATAGTGTAAAACAAAAATGTTGTAATCAAAACACGAAATCTGATCGGAATAAACGCAAATAAGTATATAGACGCCTATTTCTTGGTGAGGTTGGCTACCATGATTTTGAATCCATCGATTCCCTTTTGGTTGGACTCTTGGTATCCTACCAATGTAGTCTTGCACTTTTCGAACCATTTTGACACGTTGGCGTACTTCGACAAGTCAAAACCGACAGCCTGAAAATAAGAAAATGCGTGTTAAACATATGCCCAAGTTATAACACTGATGAGTAAAAAAAAACACGTTAAGAAAATACCTCGATAGTCGAAATGGAAGCGACTAAAGCCAAATCGGCCACAGTCACTGAATCGCCGGCAGCCCAAGTGGAAGATCCCAAAAAGATGTCCAAAAACCCGAGTGCGTCATGGATTTTCTTCTCTTTGTCGTCGCTTTTTGGTACTCCAGCGAAAATCCACGGGTACTATGAAATTAAAATAAGATATTTAAATTTAAGTCACAGTTCTACAAATATGTTATGTGTGTACGTCATAATAATACAGATTTAACTTGTCGACAAGGTATTTTATTGTACCTATTATTAAAGGTAATTAAGAAATTAGAGTTGAGGTATATTTTAAAAAATTTTCCACCGCGTCTTCCGTGAATAAATTGCTAAAACTTAAACGACTTGAATGTTTTATTAAAACGATTACATATTATAGGCCTCAAAATCTGGTTTGGCCGCGTAGAAAGACTATTGCTTCAATTTTCTTTTTACCCATCTTTAATGAACGGTTTTTTTTTCGCCACTAGTCCACCGTAATCCTGGTCATAATATTATTACAACAACCCTAAACGAATATTACAGCATAATGATGTGATTACTGATGAGTGGTAACAGTAGTCGGTAGACTATTAATCATAGGGGTAGTGTACCAGTGTGTACAACGTAAAACGTTTAATAAATGGTATGACATAATATTCAGTGTGCAGCGAAAGAAAATGAAAGACAGGTACCACTGCGTTACACACCCGACTGATTTTAAACACTTCGAGGGGAAAGTCATCGCGTCAAACGACAACGATAAATTAATAACCTTTGCTAATTGGTCGTTATAATATGAATGCGAATACTCACGTATTGATCGAAAAAGGCCGGGTACAACGTGCTGACGTCAAATTGCAGTCTTTGATTGACCAGCGCTTGCTTCTTCGGGTCTTTTGGGAACAGCGAATCGTCTTTTCCGTAAGCTTGAGCCAAGTACACGATAATTGCACGGCTGAAACAAAAACGTCGATTATTAAAAAAATGTATACAATTGTTACTGTCGAGTACCCATTTTATTTTTAGTACAATTAGTCTTTGGTGTGATTCTACCACCCACACCAACCCCCCCCACCCACCCTTACATAAGTAATCAAATTAATATTACGATCGATATATTATATTGAGTGATCGTTGTCCGGAAATGAAGACTACGAATCTCGACGTTATGGCAGGTGGTTACACACTTACACTGCAGAAACGTTCCTTCGAGCAGCTCTATAATAATATTACTGTACCTACCTACTACGTCATAACTCATAAGTCATAACTACCTACATAATTCATATTTAGGTAAGTTTAAAATTTAAATACGATTGTCGTAATTAAATATTGCAATAAGTCAGCCGGAACAAATAAATCGATTCGAAAGTTAATAGTATCGTCCAATTTACGGAAATCTGTAGGTACATATTATAATATTATGTTATATACCCTCAGAGTTACGTTAGAACATCAATATTTATTTTTAATATCGTAGCGTATTATATTATAATTGTATTTACAAGGAAGAGTAGAAAACGGATGTTAAAGTATATAAGTTATTATATATTTATTTTATCATTAGTCATATTATTAAACATGTTGTGCTTAGCTAAACAAAATATATCATATTGTATACATATACCCGGAATCGTGAAGTCATATTACGTAGGACCAAGTTATAAAAGTACTGTAAGCCACAATGTACGCATATACTATATAATATTTAATACGTAGAATGTATTGACTGTGAATTTGGATATTTTATTTTTTTTAATTATTTCAGAAAAAAATACAGTTTACTTCTTGTGACTTGTTTTATAAACTTCATAGCTGGCTAATCTCTAAATTGATTTTTTTTAGCTTACAGTTTTGAAAACAAAATAATATTTTAACTGCCATATATACCTATATATATATCAAACCTTAAATTATCTTTAAAAGTTATATCATGTTTTAAATATAAATAATCACATAAATTTCACTTAGTCTCCCAGGTTTTAAATATTCATAGAGCCATATAATATAAGACTCTAAATACGTGCTTTATTCATAATCCTCCCATAAAATGTTGTAATTGAATATTAAATTAACATAATAATGAACAAATTAAGTTATAAAGTTTATAATAACAAATAAGACTTCGACAATCTAAATCCTGCATTAATCTATAATATTTAATATTTATTTATCATAGTTTTAAAAATAAACAATACTGGATAATATTATTATAGGCTACAGATAAAAATTATTTAATATTTACTTTGGTATAATAACAGATATCGTAATATTTAATTGTATAAAATATTTTATTATATACCAATAATAAATAACGTGTCAATAATTTCGCGAATCTTATGTTATCTTATCACTAGCCGGAAGAACTTTGTATTTTAATTATTAGCGTGTCCCAGTAAACCAAATGTATTATTTTATGCATTAAAATAATATTATCATTCAATATTTTTATAACTCGTATAGTTATCTAATAAATACTATAAATTGAACTCACCTCTCCCACAAAACTAAGTCACCGTCCACCAATGTCGGTACACAGTGTTGAGGATTTAGCTGTAAAATAACAACGTTTATAATAATTATTATTAACATCGTATAACGAAAGTCTATACAATCTATACAATACAACAATATAACAAGACGACATTTTTCGAAAACTTACCTTGATGAATTCTGGTTTCATGTGTTCACCGTGGTGGAGATCTAAAGTTTTCAAGTTCAATTCCAAACCCAAGGCTTTGGCAGTCAGCAAAACCGATCTGCATGGCGGGCTGCCAGGAGTGTAGTAAAAGTCGATCGGCATCCTAAAATAGTATATTGAATAAACACACTTTTATAGTGGCATACTTGTATTGGAATATTGGGTAGGTAGTAGGTACTTAAAATAAAATAATAAATGAATCGCTGCAAAAGTTGTTTTGGACTTGAAAATTACTTTTAAATTTATCACACCGAGATTGTCGTGCGATTAGATTATGCCTATTTCGTACACTATATAAAAGTAGACACATCGTAGGTATTATAAACATCATAATTCATAACTAATAAATTATTTAACGCATTCAATTTTGTCCCATTAAGGCTTCTTCCCATTGACTACACTCAAACGTCATATTTTGGAAGACTGCAGTCGATTATAATATAATATTTTTTGTTGTGAACTCTATCTCAGTGCTCGAATTGAGGGGGGCGGAGCTTCTCCACTATTTTTTTTTTTTTTTTTGCGTACCCCAAATATTTTTTTTAGGAGACGGTACAAACTAATGCCCAAAATATTTTTTTATTAATATTCGGTGTGGATCTAAATTATTGTCAAAGATATACCATATACAAACCTAATGAATTTTAAATGTTTTAATATAAAAGTATTTTTCATCCTGTCTATGGTTTTGATTAGTAGTGTTCAACCTTTTTGACTCGTGATCCACTGTTTTTGTAACAATATTTTCACGACTCGTGTCAACTTTGTAGACCATGAAAGAAAAAAAACTTTAGCTTTCCGGTACATAAATGTGTCCAAAACATTTCCAAAAAAGTTTCAATAAAAATTTGTTTAAGTTTTGGATCACAAGTATAAGTTCAATTTATTGATTTCTATGTAAAATATGGTCCTTTAGTTCATTCATAACTTATTCGAATTCATAATTTATAATTGTACAAACTTATTTATTTTTTTTTAACAAAAAATAAATGTCACGACCCATTTTTATAGGTTACGCGACTCTGCAAGATTGGGTAGTGACCCACCGGTTGAATACCACTGGTTTAGACTTCCTAATACCTTACTCATTTTTTTTATTATAGTTTTTTTTATATTATATTACGCTTGTTCTTTGTCTAGTTTAGTAGTTCGCAGATATTATGTACCTGTACAATAGGCTTGTATTATCAAATATCTGTGGACTAGTGTTCACAATTGACATAGTATGCGTTTGAAGCACAAATTATAATTGTTACGATATATTATCACTGATAATTATAATTTTCTTACTTCCTACCGAAATATGTAATTATTATTTCTATCAATACCTATAAATTTCGAAAATTAAGGTGAATATAAAATATAAATATAGTTAAATATATTTTATTTGGAAATTTGGAAGTTAAAATTCTGTAACCTGCGAGGTGAAATGTAGTATTGAAAAATTAGGAATTGGTTAAGGGGGGTGTGGGTGGCAGAGCTCCCCGCGGGTCTGCGTCGAGTAATTTTTCACTTGGAACGCAGTTTATAAATTGTTGAATTGAGCACCTCTACTTAATAATTCCCAATTCGAGCACTGCAGTCTATCTATAAATTCACTCGCTCAAACCGGTGTGAAAAAAATAACCTACACGGATGTTCGCACCACATTGTCATATTTTACATGGTTCATATTATTATCCGGCACTGACAAGTGACATGCGAAACACATCAGAAAGGCCGTTTAACGTTCGTGTTTTTAACCCTTTGACCACCGCGTCGTTAATAAGACGACAATGCAAATGCAAGCACGCAGCAAAAAAAAAAAATAAAAACACAGGTCGCTTCGCGTGTAACGGACCCCAAACCGTATACTTAATAATTACGCGAACAACAGCCATTATTGTTCGTTTCCTTTATATTATTATGGAAAATATCGTCAAATGCGTGAGAACGTCGATACTATTATTGAAACTCAGAGCTAGTCGGACATGTCGTGTTTCATATTTTATTCTCCATTAAGTCCTACAACTATATGTGGCCATCGGTAATGAAAATTGTAATATAATAGTATAATATTATTATGTACGTGTGACGGAATCTCTGCAGCGGAATGCACTTACACGCACTGCACAGTGCACCGACCTTATAAGTTACAACCTACAGTTTATAAATAGGTAAGTGTGGTAATACAGGTAATAACCGGTTACACGCGAGTTGAACTTTTCCAGGAGCAAACTCGACGATCCCCAAGAGAATATTACAAAATGTTTTTAAACTATTTTTTATTTCAATTATTATTTTGTTATTTTTTCATTTTTTTAATGACCTTTTCTTTTGTCGTTGCTCGCACGTTTGCGGAATATAATAATAATTGTCGCCCTCAGGGCATCCTTTAATTATTAATTACAGTAGCGGTCAAACGATACAGTTGGCAGTTTTTTCCTACGGTCACGGAACACGACGAATGCCGAAAAAACTTTTTCAACCACTGAAGACACGTAAGCCAGTAATACACGCACGCAATAATGTTAGTTGAAAAAATAGGTAGACCCTTTTTTTTTTTTTTTGGGTACCGTACAACACACGCTTTAACGTTAAACGTAAATTTGCACAAAAGAATATCACATGATATAAATTAATATTATATTATATTATACACTTTAGTTGTTTATCACATAGCTGTCGGTTCCAATAGTTCTGATCCCACCAATTAATTAAACGCATTACATTTTACTGGATGACTAAAAAAGACCTTCAGAGTTCGTTAATCGATCCACAAAAATTTGGTATTAAAATATTACGTTCACTTACATAGTAATTATGATCGCATATATCATTTTTAAGTTAAAAAAAAATACACCTATATAAAACTTGTAGAGCCTAAATGATTTTTTTTTTAAAGCAAGGACACCAAGGATAAACTCAAGGTAACATTAAACTTCGGTCTCCAAGGATTTCTCGCCCAAAACTAATGTACAACTATATATTTTATGGTTTTTTCAATAGTTTAAACCAACATTAATGACGTGTTTTATTTCTTTCCAAATAGAAAAAAATAACACAATATTTTATTTAAGTTTGTAATAATTTACGCACGGTTCTTTTCAATCGAAACTCGATTGATATTCATGGTATATTCAGGGGGAAAAAAAATTTACACGCAAAATAAATCGAATTTAGAAAACTCGTTCAGATACCTATCATTCAACTGTTTGACGAAACACCAAAGAAAAATAAATTATTTCCGTTTGTTGTTTCGATAGCATCATAATAATAATATGTGCAGGTAGGAAGTATGTATTTTTACTATGCCCCCGAGCCTGAATAATTTGGATTACCTACTACGATAATAATAATAATTGTGGTTTGTTACCATAATTTCTACGATTATTTGACAACAAACATAGTCCAAGGCCAATTGTCGGTATTATCGTTGAGCGAGTATGGCCTTGGGTCCTTTCACTTTTTTTTTTTACTACATACGATTTTTTGGCATCGCCTTCCCACGAAAAAATAAATTAATGAAACACTAAGAATACTGTACTTAAAAACATAAAAGTATACGAGCGAAATACATCTATAGGTACAGTAGGTGTATTACACGACATTAGGTACAACTCGTAATATTAAAGCTTTTTTTATCGGGTATTAAGGTACCTACCTATATATATAACATATCATATTTCTAAGAGACGAGACTTTTATATCGATTCTTTAGCCACCAATTCTCAAGGGTTGAATAGAATCGAAATTAAAATTAATAAAAATGTCAATTTTTATTTAAAATAATACCTATTATAGTTCATCGATTACAAAATAATCCAATTTGGAGGTACGTAAAAAAGAACCGATTCTGAATGAACAGTATGGCATTTTAAATCTATAATAGTTTTGTCGGTTCTGTGATTTAATCGATTTAGTTCATTATCTGGTGATAATAATTAAATTGTTTGGTTTTTATATAAATTGATTGGTAACTACGTGTAGGGTACAATTTTTTTTACGATAAAGTTCTGTGAAAACTTGTGAGTATAAAAATGCATATTAATGTTGTAGAGAATAATTAATTTCTTAGATCGACCATAGTAATATTATGACGTATAATACAGTTTCCTAGAAAAATGCAGAAACCTATTATTTGGACAACGGTACTTGAACAAACCAAGCATAAAATTTGAAAAAAATCTGTTTTATACAGTGAGAATACGAAATATTATTACGCCATGTAACGCTGAACACGGTAAAAACAAAAGCTTAAGATTAGAAATCGATTAGAAACAAATAATAATAGCCCATTAGCCCATATTCGATATTTCACCCTGCGAACGAATAACACTAACAATAATGTTCGCAGGTGGTAACCCGATTTCCCGATGTTATAATAATAAATAAATAATAGGTAGTATATAGTTTGGTTTACCTGTCGGTTTGAGTTTTGACGTTGGAAAAGAAATTGAAATGGCTAGCGACCGGTGTGTACGTCGACTGACTGTTTGAAGCCGGCGCCGGCCTGTCGGTTATATTTATCGGTCACTTCCCCCGCCACAGCCAAATCCCCTCCACCGACGTCAAGTCATTATTATTTTACATTTTATTTGTGTGTGTGTGTGTGTGCGTGTGTAAATATATATATTATAATATTACAAGCTATACAGACCTATGATAATAATATTATATTAATCGCAGTATTATTATAGTATTATTATTTCAGAGGCGGTAATATTCGTGATTTCCCGCAGATGACTCATCTCCGGTCATCGCGATGTAAAATAAAATTATTGTAGTCTATACGTCATTGCGACTCTGTGTATGCGTGGACATTCAGAGACGGTGAAAGGACGAAGATGACGGAAAGAGGAGGAGTAAGAGAAAATGTATCGGTGTGTATCATTCACCGGTTTTCCCTTATGTATCGTTTGAGTTTAAACATAATAAAAAAAAAAAACGGCAGCCGCCGATCGAACGGGCGATGCCGGAAAGTCCGAGTCGGGGACCACGACGACGGGCCTACACGCCGTATCTACATAATATTTACCCACTAGCAGCAGCTCTCCCCTAGTGTGGGTATAATATAGGTACAATAATTCAACCTCAGAAAAATGTACTCTCGACGTCGTCTA